GCCTCGAAAAGCTATTTCCCCGCGCGGAAGAGTGAAAGAAAAACCGAAGTTATGGAAGCGAAAGGTGATGAGATGTGGGAAATCTTTCGGAACAATAAAGTTAGAATCGTGCGGTGTCGTATCCCCCCAAATGAATGAAAAATGTTAACGAAATTTCAGGGCGTGCAGATGGGTTGCGAAGACTAAAGGCATTAAAAAGCAGACTGTGCCATATCCTATCCGAGAAGTGATTTGTATTTACCTCATAATATGTAGGAGAGGAATCAATAATTTTTCATCCTTCGTAGTTTTCAATACCCGGAAGGCTTCATCTGAATTCAGGAATGAACAAAAAAAAAGCGTTGATGCCTTCTCATGGTTGAGGACAAAATGATTTTTGCAGCTGAAAGAACTTGAAGTAATCTTTGAAGTGAAACAACCAATACTCGTGATTATGCACAGGGACGCGGATGATCAAAGTGAAATTCAGAATTTGGATTGAGTTTGGAAAGTTTTAAATCAAAGCAATTTGATGAGCAAAAGTTAGCGTGCGAAGCTTCTTCCAGGGTAGATAGTGAAAAAATAGCTCATGTTTACAGGAGGCCATATCATCACATCGAACACATTTGGATCTCTTCTGTTCACTTAGGAATGCCTTGTTATAAGATCGATGTATTTTTATTCGAACCATCCAGATTGCTATTATTGTCATCATGTTGTGAAGATAACACGATGGTACGATATTAATTTTGAGTATCACGATCAGTTTTTGAAGCCTCCTGCCACGGGAGATCTAATGGGGCTGGATTGTTTTCACCGGTTCTGAGACGAGCCATACCATTGATGACAAGATGAGAGTGGTCTGTGTACTTCTCTTCTACAACGGCGCATAGTCTCGAGGTTTTCCTTTTTCGCTTGCAAGAACGTTTAAACACGGGAGAACTCAGAGAAGTATTTCGGATTACTTCGAGCTTTGATCAGATGAGCATGGCAGCTAGGTTTATACAGTGTTTTTCACTTCAGTTAGACAATTTTTCACTCGACTAAGACACCGATGCGAGGGGTATTCAGAGAGGAGGCGAGGGCGCTGGTGCCCCTGGTGACTAACGACATCTTTCTTTCCTTCGAATATTTAGGCTTTTTCATATGAATCAAACTAT